AAGCTAAAAGGGTGATTTGAGGCATTATATTTGACAGAATTGTCAAAAAAAAAAAACAGAAAAAATGTTGCTTGTCAAATTGACTGACTGATAATACATGTACATGTAGCTGGCTAATGTATGGTTTCACAGTGCATCAATGCTAGATATTATTGTTGAGGGTCTTGGAATCCTCAGAAAGCACATACATGTATGTGTACATTCTATGTTTTATGCTTGTGAAGTTTCTAATTCATGATTAAACAATAAATTTATACAAAGTAATAACACATATGAACTGCAGCTGATGCCACCTCATGATGTACAATAATACCTACTCTACTGTGCCATGATCCACTGCAAATCTTTGCATGTCCTCTCGAGCTCGTTCTTCTTCCAGCTCCTTCTGCAATTCTTCTATCTTCTTTTTTTCCGCTGCATGGGTCTCTTCCTTCTTCCACACCCGCTCTATGTTTCGCATAGTCTGCGGGTGCCAGCTCTTTTTCATGTTCTGAAAGAAAAACAATGGACATATTTGGATTGTTGAAACTTGTTTTCTCTTATGCAATTTATATATTCCGCTATGTCTTAGACTTTGCTGGGATACGCTATATATTGGCGGACAATCCTGCAATCCCTGACTGCTCCCAAAGGGGAATAAAATGACAGGGCGTGGATGTACATACATACACTGTATGTGTAACTACATTGCTGCCGTGGCCCTATAAGTGGGTCATACAGGCCCAGACAAAATCCCCAAATTTTGTTTCCCGTTGTAGGTTACATATACATCCATGTCAGCTAATCAGTTGGTACTTTACTATTTGACACGACTATCATGCAAATTCCACACTCATGATTCAATGAAAATGAAATTCTGTCCCACCTTACTTCACTGTTTTCCCGATTCATTGTTAAGTATTGGTTATCAAAAGATGAATGAGATCGGAATTTGGCGATTATCAATTAGATTTATAATATTGAGCAACAAAATATATCTTGATTTCTAAACTGTTGATAAATTTACAAGTTTCTGATTTTCTGAAATGGCAAAGTCTGAGAAGCAGGTTTGCAAATAACTCTATTTTACATGTTATTGTACATGTATATGCGCTATACACATCTTAAGCCATTCTCTAAGACGGGCCGGAACAGTAAGTCAGAAGGGTATCAGGTCGTTTGGACCCCTCGCCCTTTCGACCCCTGGACGATTAGACCCCTCGACGTTTCGACCCTAGGACGATTAGACCCCTCGATGTTTCGACCCCTCGACGGTAGAACCGCTTGGCGCCACAATCCTCACCATTTGAACCTAGCATTATTTTACTGGGTAAAACGAGAAGATACCTAAATTTAGCGACAGAATCGCGAATTACGGCGACCCTTCGACGTTTTGACCCCTTCACAGTAGAACTGTCACAAACTATTATTACCAATATGAATACTGACTGATCAAAAAGCATTTGAACCTAGCATTATTTTACTGGGTAAAACGAGAAGATACCTAAATTTAGCAACAGAATCGCGAATTACGGCGACCCTTCGACGTTTCGACCCCTTCACAGTAGAACTGTCACAAACGTTTGGACCCACTATTATTACCAATATGAATACTGACTGATCAAAAAGCAGCAACCATTTTTCTGTATAAAATTAGTTTATAATAAAAAAAAACAGAGTCGCAAATTACAGCGGCTATCTTTTCTGATCGATGCCTGGGCGTTGGAGAGAGTTCAGTCCGCCATGTTGTTTACTATCGGCATCATGAAAAATACGAAATAAGCTTAGCATATGCAACTTTGTATATGTTTGCTAGTGTGTTTATTGAACATTGCAGTCTATTCCCTACTTGAATTCGAATTTCTACAAGTTGTCTTGGCCCCGGAAATGAACCCGACAGAATATAATTCAAATGAACATTCGCATTTTCCTGTTTGATGAAATAATCACAGCCATGTACCGGCTGTAAATATGTTTCTTGTATTTTCACCTAACTATTTTGATTGGGGTAAGGTTACATATTAATCACAGCTTTACACGGGAAAAAAACATTGACTTTTTCCTGAAAACAAAACAAAAAAAGAAATGTGTTAATTGACTATATTGCCGTCCCTAAGAATCGAATGGTATA